TATGCCTCATTTCTCCAAAAACAATTAAAAACGCTCTCTTTTATGTGTCAAGAATAATAGTTTAACTTTTACTTTTTCATTCTATAAAAAATGTTAGGTTTTGTGGTTTTGTTAGGTTTTCACAAATTCAGTATTTTTGGTGGTGTAAGATTTTTTTAACGCTTGCACATTCTTTTTAGAAAAGGTTGGACCACTCCCACCAAATCATGAAAGGTTCCTCCCCCATCCGGATGTTGTCAAACCAAATTATCTATCGCTTCACGCCATGCTCCTTCAACTCTCGACTTCACCCACCAGCGTGTCGTTGATGAGCACACAACGAAGTCTATAGTCGACACTAAAATGGGCAAGACAAGTGTTACAACCATCGTATTTTGGACAATAAACTAATGCCTTGAGTGGAACCAGCGGTGGATGACAACCAGCAACAATAACATCAACACTTTCATCTATTGCAGGTGGTGCACAACGACAATGGTTGTCGCCATCCTAGCCGCCTCACGCCTTCTCTACCACTGCTCATGGTCGCCACAACTTCGTGATGGACTCATCTCGTGTGGCATGGAAGCTCCAAGGGCAATGATAAGTTGAAGTTTGAGTCCGATCAAAAGAAATGGTCATCAACAAAGTACGAATTTTCCTGACTGCATGGGGCCATGGGTTTCTTCGTTGAGCAGGTCAGTCCCACATTAAAGTTATGGCGGCATAGTCAGAGTGACATACACAACGTTGATGAAAATGCACTGTTGTCCTCCTAAGTTGAAAGGAAACTGTACTTGTCTGCTTCAACCTTGCAAGTGTCTTTCCCAACCGCTCTCGGCCTCCACATGCCTATTCGTGTTGAATCTGCTGATGTACCTGCCAGTAAATTGTGCTTTTCCTTACGGATCGTAGGGGGCGGCCAGATACCACAAGATGGACCGTCAAAGTGTCGGTGGGCGACTTCTGGGACGAGGGCGACCAATTGATCCACACACCTAGTTAAGGATGCCAACATCGGACCACTGATGAACCTTTCTCTGCCTTCACCCGTATATAATAACTCCTAAAGATACCGACAAAACCGTTTCTCCCCCCACCCCCCGCTTGACCACCTGCATTGCCCAGGGCCGAGATGAGGAGTGCACGCTTTACCGCACATCCTTCACTCACAAGGTAGAAAAAAGTGCACCAACGCAAAACCCTTGCCCTTCTCCCCGAGCACCAAAAGCCACCCACTTCCTATTAATTATCGCCAACCTGTGCCATCGTCGGACAGACTGGTCGAAGTGAGCCTTTCGAATTCACAATGTCCAAAATTCTCCTCTTGGACGGTGTTTTGTGGCAAAGGGGGGAAAACCGTCGAAAATACCTCTATCAAATTTGTACTGACACCAATCGAAAATTTGGTAGTTTTTACCCCAGAGGAGTGAAGTTAGCATCACCAGCATCTGCATCACTTTGAATACCAGATTCGTCCGCCTCTCAAGCTGCAGTTTCATGCTAGTTCGAACTCCACTTAGCTATGCTTCCAAGGGTAGTAGACATTAGTTGTGCTATAATTCAGGCCTGGAGCAAATGGGAACTGAGGCTTTTGCATTTGCACTCTCCTAGATGACATTTGGTAACTATTGTTGAAATATTATGTGTGCATTTTTAAGAAGAAAGTACAGACCGAGAGGAAAAAAGTACATACCTAGAGGCAAGAGGTAATACCTTCGATTGAGCAAACTCAATTCATGATCAAGGAAGCCCTGAGATATCTGATTTTCATGGACTGGGATAAGAGGGTTGAACCAGAATTTGACAATCGTTAGAGGTCTTATATGATGTTCAACTTTTTGAAACCGTCAGAGCACAAATTCATTCAGGTGACAACATCGTAACGTTGTAGCAATGGCTGGTCGCATGCAAACAATGACTCATGGAAGTACTGATGGCTCAAACCACTAGTACTTGGCCAAGCTATCGGTCGTGGAAAAAAATACAATTGAAATGTTTTTAGTCAGATGAATTTGGGCGCTCTTGAAGTGCCCCGTACGTTTTTTAAAAATCGTGGTTTGTTAATGGGAGCGATTTCAAAAAGTACTGTTGGCTTAAGCATTGGGCGACATTTAAACCTTTTATTAAACCACCAGTACTTCTGAGGTCCTTTTGCGCGGGGCTGCAAACGCCCTCAACGCCAAAAAAACGGAACTGGCGTGAACCTCCTTTTGGCTGGCGTCGCCATCCATTTTGAAAATCCCAAGAATGTGTCGGACCCGCCAGGATGGCGGTCCGACAGGATGGAGACGAAGGGTGGACGAAGGAGGAGACAGAGATGGAGCTGGAAGGGACAGCGCAGCTCCGACGCAGACTCAACACGCACGTACTCCAAGATCTGCCAAAGTGAAGAATCACGAAAAACAGACAAGTGTTGTGGTATACCCCCAGCGGACTTACTGACTGGACTGGACTGGACTGGTACCGACAGTGGTACCGGGATGGACTAGAACAGCACACGGCCTGTGGGTTCAGGCCACGACCTGGTCCCACAGGCCGAACTGGGCAAATAGCCAAATAGGCCCTGACTATAGGTCAGGCCAGATGAAAGCCCGTTGCACGATCCTCAGACCTGTAATGGATCGCAAGAGCCATAAACACGCTATCCGCAAAAGCAGCGGAACTCTGCAATAAAGAAAGCTAAGAAATCTAGGATGCGGAGCAAGCTCCATGCGGAGTCCATGCGATGCATCCTAAGCTACATAATGTCAAAAGAAAAGCAAATGTATGGTATACATATCCTAGCTAACAGCAAAAAATGAAATGTAGTATGATACAATCCTAAAGTCATGGAGGCAGTGGCATCAATGCTAAAAGGAAAAGGGCAATATGTCACAAGATAATGTCATGTGGCTGAACCACTAAGAGTGGGATGGTCTCAGAGGGGGTGAATGCAGCCTAAGAATCGAAACTCCTAAGGGCAGTCACACATGAAGGTGGGATAGGTCATCTGGCTCAAGGTGGGAGAGTGGTAGCGAAACAAAACCAATGACCCTAACAGATAGACCATCAAGGCGGGTAACGCTCGACAAAAGGGTGACACCATGAAGGGTCGATCATGAAAAGGGGGAGCCTGGAATAGGGTGGAGCTATGCCGAACTGGAGGCATGCAATAGCCGACTCTAGGGTGATGAGGGCAGTGGGTGAGGGAAACATGCACACAACTCACCGACTGGGAGAGGGAGCTAGACCTGGGAGCAAGGAAGCCAAGATAACGCCACGGTCCCAACGCCTATGCGATACCAAGGGAGAGCCAAACTCAAAGAGACCCAGCTAAGTGAGAACCATCATGCGACAGGGGCAAGGGAGTATGCAGGGTAGGGTGGTGACGTGAAGTAGTCACGTCCAAAGTAGCTGAAGTCGTCGAAGTAGTTGATGACGTCGATGAAGTAGCAGTGAAGTCGATGTCGAAGCAGAGCCGCAAAACTCCGACATCCTGAAGAAGAGCTGATGATGGAGTACCTGATGGTGTGAGTCAGTGGGGAAAGATAGAGGATACAAGTGTCAGTCATCGTAACGCGAAGGGCGACGATGAGTGCGCTGTGGACACTCGGAGGGGACCGTCTGCGGCTAAGGAACGGCCTCAGAGGGAGTGGGCTCGTCCTCAGCAATCTCCTCAGTCGGAGGAAGAGGAAGAGGGTCAGTCGGCTGAGTAGAAGCAGATGTCTCAGCACGACGAGCACGATCATATGCACGCACCAACATCCGGGCGTGCTGCAAGTGTTCGAGGGGCTCCCAAGTAGCCTCCTCATCAGGGTAGCCCTTCCAACGCACAAGGTACTCGATGCGTGGAGGGGTATCGTCGGTAACTCGGCGTGATACGATGTAGGAAACAATGAACTCCTCGTGACCGTCCACCATGATAGGTGGAGGGCACTCATAAGGGCTTCCGGCAAAGCGCTCGGACGGTCTGCGATAAGGACGCAGCAAGGAGACGTGGTAAACATTGTGTACGCGAGCCTGTCAAAGATAATCAGGTAGCTTCACACGGAAGATGACCGGACTAACGGCAGTATCAGAACCGACGGCCTGAAGGATGCGGCATGGACCGAAGAAACGACGTCTGAACTTGCTAAGCATATCTGCTTCGAGCTGTAAGTGGCGTGCGTCGACGAGCACATCGTTACCGACTTTGAATGGATGATCCATTCGTTATCGGTTCGCTCGTGCGGCCATGCGAGTTTGGAAGTCGGCTAAACTCTCGTGTGCGCGCTTCATAATCGCCGCCATGTGGGCGATCCAGTCGTCAAGTGCAGGGCAACGAGTGTCTGGGCGCAACCGCGATGGTCGTAGGAAATCCACGGGTACGCGAGGGTGGTAGCCGAGGTCGCAATAGAATGGCGACATCCCCGTGGCTGGCGAAACAGCATGGTTGTACGCAATCTCAGCGTGGGCAAGTGTAAGTCCCACTGCTGGTCATCCCTAACAAACTTTCGGAGGATATTACCGATAGTTTTATTGGTGACCTCAGTCTGACCATCCGTCTGAGGGTGGTAAGATGATGAGAAGCGGAGCTGGGATCTGTACACCTCTTGTAGGCGTCACCAGAATGTGTTGGTAAAGCGCGGGTCACGGTCAGAGATGATGCTATGAGGTAAACCGTGATCTCTCACGACTTGGTCGAAGACGATGTTAACGATCTCACGAGCGCTAATGCGATAGCGGCACGGGACAAAATGTGCACGCTTCGTGAAGCGATCGACGACGACCAAGATAGCATCATGACCGCGCTCAGTGGGTGGGCGGAGGGGACCAATGAAATCCATCGAGATGGACTGCCAACGACCCTCGGGTATGGGTAGGGGCTGAAGTAACCCGTACGGAAGGTGGTTCGCACTGTTCACCTCCTGGCAGGTAGGACACTCTTGGATATAGGCTTTGACAGAGTCCTTGGACTTCGGCCAGACGTATAGGCGGCAAACACGAGCCAACGTCTTGTGGAAACCCATATGACTGGCAGCTCCCTGGTCATGGAACTCTACTAAAGCCTGGACGCGGAGTTGTCCAGTGGAGGGAACGCAGATATGTGGTTCTAGCTGGCCAGATCTGCCATGTCAGTACACGAGGTCGTTCTCCCCGAGGGAGTAGGAAGGAACGGTTTTGCCACTCCGCAGTGTCGCGTGGATGACGCGATAATCGGGGCAGTGGCGGTACTGAGTGCGATACGCGTCGATCACCGACTGATCAACAGTGGTGATAGAGATGGCAGCAAGATGGATGGGTTCCTGATTGTGATCAGGACGGCGGGACAAGGCGTCGGCGACGCGGTTCGTTTCACCCTTGATGGGCTGAGTGGTGAAACTGAACTCGGATAAATCACGCCACCAGCGTGCCTGTCGAGGGGAAAGCTTAGGCTTCGTGAGGAAAGCCTGGACAACTGAGTTGTCCGTGCGCACCGTGAAGGGCGCCCCGTGCGGATAATGACGCCAATGCCAGGTAGCATAAACTACTGTGAGAACCTCACGTTCATCGGCAGTGTAGTTTATCTCGGCAGACAGTAGCTGACGGGAGTAGAAAGCGATCAGGCAATCCCCAGCACGAACCTCGACAGTCCCATCCTCCACGATGGTCGGAGAGTAAGTAACAGGAGGACTGTCAGTGGAGGGAAGGGAAGGGAGGGTAGGCATCAGTCGAGAAGCAGTGTCAGCAGGAGGGGGGGGGGAAGGAGGGATATGGGGGTAAGGTGAATCTGGAGGAGAGGGAAACACCTGAGAAAGGACAGCTCCTACTGCAAAGTCTGACGCATCGGTGGTGACGATAAAGGGACGATCAAAATCGGAAAGGCGAAGAACCGGTGCACAGGTCACCACCTTCTTAAGGGCGCGAAAGGCGTCCTCGCACAGGAGTGTCCAAAACCACGGCGGGTTCTTCCGGAGGAGGGTTGAGGTAAGGACGTAGGAATACCTAGCGTATCCCTGGATAAAATTACTATAGTAGCTGGTGAGGCCTAGGAAACTGCGAAGCTGCTTGGCAGATGTGGGGACGGGCCACTCTGCAGTAGGAGTGATCTTTGCGTCGTCCATGTGGAGACTCTGGTCAGACACATGGTGTCCTAGGAAGTTCACTTTGCACTGGGCAAAGCGGCACTTACTGATCTTGGCATAGAAGTCATGCTTGCGTAAGCGCTGTAGGACATCGCGGAGGTGTCTGAGATGGTTTTCTAAGGTACGACTGTAGACCAAGATGTCATCCAGGTATACGAGAAAGTATTCTTCAAGGATGTTCCTGAAGATGTCGTTCATCGCCGTCTGGAAGGTGGCGGGTGCATTGGTGAGGCCGAATGGCATCACCGTGAACTTGTAGCGGCCGAAGCTCGATCGGAAGACGGTCTTCGGTTGATCCTCTGTGGCAACGCGAATCTGGTGGTAACCGCTACGAAGATCGATCTTCGTGAAGAAGCGGTTGCCTGCCAGACGGTCAAACAGCTCATCCGCACGGGGCATGGGATAGTTGTTCTTAACCATGTAACGGTTAAGGCCGCGGTAGTCGATGCAGAGGGGGAGAGTTCCGTCCGCTTTCCGAGCAAAGAGGACAGGTGCACCCCAAGGGGAGTTAGTGGGTTTAATGAAACCCAGTCGAAGGAGCTCCTCAAGCTGACGCTTGAATGTCGTCGCCTCTGGAATCGAGAGTCGGTATGGTGCCTGATGGTGAACACGATAGTCAGGCATGAGCTGGATGGAATGCTCGACACCGCGCATCGGGGGAATCTCGTTGCATGAGAAATAGGGGGGGAAGACGTCGCGGTACTCTCGAATCAGGTCGCGAACGGAGGGCTCTAAGTCTATCGTGAACCGTGTGAGTTCCTCAGCGTCTGCGTCAGCACGAGACGTATGTGTGGACTCGATAGTCGACGGCGCAGGGGCCTGAGACGTGGAGGAGGTATCCGCAGGCTGACGAGTGGATGTAGAGATGGGAGCCGCGAAGATGGAAGGAGGGTCAGGGGGATCGGGCTCCAGAGAGATGAGCTCAACCTCGGGACTTGGTGGATCATAGCGAAAAAGATCCATGACGTTCACTGAGTAGAACGTGACGTCCTCCTGTCGTATGAAGTGAGCAAACTGACGAGGGGAAGTGAATGCGATGTTGGGGTGGGACCCTGAGGGACGAGGGTCCTGGGAGGTAGGTCGGGCGGGGTGTCGCCCGTGGTTCCAATGAACGGGACGCGATGGGTCTGACCACACTTCGTTTTGAGAACGAGTGTCTCGGTCGCACATTCGGCCTCTGTGCCACGGAACCGGCGAGACCAGGGAGTGCCAAGGATAAAGTCGTACCCAGTCTCCAGCACGTCGAAGTATGCGGAGGAATGGTAGCGCCTAGGCGTCTGGGGACTATCCGATGGCTGGAAGGTGAGGGAGAAGTGGAGGTCGGGGACCGTCTGATCGAAGAAGCGTTGCGTCTTGTTATCTCTGAGGGTAACGGAGATAGGAGAGCGAGACCCATAGGTAGCTAGGCGAGCTTCCTCAACCACGCGAGGGTGAACGAAATCTCCCTGCGAGCCAGAGTCTCATAAAGCGTGGTACACCCTCGTAGATGTCCCTAGGCGAATAGGGATGATGGGTAGGGTGCGATTAGGGTCAGAGAGCAAGGCGAGAAGACGACGCAGGGCGTTGATGTGTCTCGTAAGGCGCTCCTGACGAGCGTGCAGAATGCTCAAGTCCAGGAAAGATGACACAACGTCATCGCGAGTCGCCAGCTGAGCGCTATAATGGGTTGTGCGAATGGCGTGACGCGTCGGAAGTCTCGGGGGAGAAGCGCTAGATGCGGCAGTCTGCTGGGAGGCAGACGGTACCTCGACAGACGATGGGGCGGAGAGAACTGCATCTGTCGTGTCCTGAGGGTCCTCTGGTGGGGTAGCCAAAGGGGCAAAACACGACTCGGTGGTCGGGAAGCCGGCTACGTGCGAGGCCTCAGGGGCACCGTGCATCGTGGCTAGGTGGATGGGGTTGGCCGGGCGGGGCCCGGGGGGGACTGAGATCGACGCTGACGAGAGATGTCAGCGTAGTGCCGATCGAGGGCGGTATGGTATGGACACCGTGAGGAGGTGTGTCCATCTAGGCGGCAACGAAGGCAGCGTCACCGGGCCTCGAGGGCGGCTCGCTCCTCAGGGGATAGAGCTCCGCGAGGAGGGACATAACCCTGCGGGAGGTCTATCTGAGGAACCGTGGGTGTGCGGGCGCCAGCCTGTGCAACCCAACTACGAGCACGACCCATGGCAGACATGGTCATCAGCAAGCGCTCGGCCACGGGAATAGTGTCGTCATCCAAGTGATATTGGATGACGTCTCGTAGCTCGATGTCCTCGGGGGCGTCCCCAAGGGTAGGGTCAAACTCGGTCGAGGCGTCCTCGCCGTACTCCAGAGAAGTGTAGCGCCGAGAGAATGGCGCTCCAGGGTGGGCTGGTCGACGAAACCGGCCAGCGAAGGAGGATCGACCGCGAGTAGCACCACGTGACTGGGTGGCGGCAGCGATGGATCGCGAAGAAGATGGGCTGTCGGAGAAGCGATTCCGCATCTTCTGGTACTGTCGAGCAGCCTCGTAGGCTTGCTCGGCGGAGGCGAAGCTCTATCGCCAGAGCTCGATACAGTAGTCAGTCGGGAGACTGACTACGAACCTGTTGGGCAAAAGGGCCTCAGGTAGGAGTGCCTCATCGCAAATGAGGCGGGCGTCCTGGAACACTCTGATGTGACGCTCAAGATCGGAGGGTGTGGAGGACCCGCGCCACTGCGTCTGGGTGACCCGGTCTAGGGGGTCGGTCGCATCGTGGAGGGTGTCGTAGCGGTCTTTGAGGAACGCGGTGAAATCCGCGAGAGTGGGCACCTCACCTGCACGAGTACGATGGGTATAATAGTTCTCCCAAGCGGAGAATGCACTGCCTCGCAATTTAGTTGCGAGGGCGGAACACCACAAGTCCTGACCAGTGTTAGTCAGTGTCATCGCGCGTGTGGCAGCCTGTAACCAGTGCGACACACGCATCGTACCATCGTCGTCGGGTATGTCCGACAGACGCACAAGGGTGCGACTGCTGTGGTGGCGGCGAGGGGAGAGGGGCTGATGGGTCTGCACTACGGCGGAAAATGTCGGAGCTGGTGCAGAGGTAGAAGTGGGGGTTGGCGGTGAGTCGGGGCCGCTGGTGGAAGGTCCAGCGGGCGTGGAGGTAACGGTCGCAGCCAACTGTGACGGAGTAGCAAGGTAGGAGGGTAGAGGGGGGGGAGCCTATCGAGGGAAGCGAGCCGGCAAGACAGTGGTGGGAGGTACGGTGTAAGAAGAAGAAGGGTGCGCAGCCTGTGGAGGGTGAGGCTGTCTAAGGGAGAGAATCTCCGCCTGGAGCTGCGCCACAGTGGCTTGTAGGGTAGCCACTTGCTGGGTGCGAGGGGTCGGGGGTGGAGGAGGCGGAGGAAGTGCCCTAGCAGGGAGAGGAAGAACTCCGGGCCGAAGTACCGTAACTGGTGCTTGAAGTTGCGACGCAGCACCGGGGTGGGTAGATGAGACTGTCTGGCCCGATGTCGGTATCTGGGCGACAACACATCCGGCGGTGGCCGAAGCGGCAGGGGCGGCGGAGGCGGCGGCAACCGATGGTTGTACCGCCACAGACGGTGTGGTCTGGGCGACAGCAACACTCACCACTGGGGCGGGGGAGTGCAGGGCCTGGCCCGCAGATAAGGACAAACCGCCCCGTCTCCGTCTCTGGCGTCGTGGAGAGCCAGACTCCGAGCTGGTAGGCGATGGGGTCTGAGAGCGGTGGGGGGACCGATGAGGGGAACCCTTGAGGCGGTGAACTTCAAGGGCGAGCGCATTAACTTGCGTCTCCAGGGGTGCAAGCGCATCGAGTCGCGCTTGCAGAGGTGCTAGGAGGGACGCAAGAACAAAGCGAAGGTCCGTGGGGTCCACACCATGCTGACCCTGGACCGTGGGGTGGGTGGGCGCCTGAGAGGTGGATGGCGCCGCAACGATCTCCTCCACTGTAGCCATGTCCGTGGATGGTGGAGGAAGAGAGGTAGACATAGTGGGAGGTGGGGGGAGATATGGGTTGTGGTATGGGGACAGAGGACCACCGGTGAGAGGGAGAGGACCGCGGGAGCGGAGTGGGTAGTCGTGGGTCGGCTCGCCTCGTGACCAACGGGTCGCGCGTGAGATGGTGGCGCGAATCCGGTCTAGGAGAGAGCAGCCGTTCGGGTCCAGGGTGCCCGACGGGAGGAGGTGGGAGGGTAGGGGGATTACGGAAACCCTAAACCCTAGAAAAACCCTAAGGAAACCCTGACCGGAGTTTAGGTGGTTAGGGGAAGGTGGCGGTGACCTAATCAAGAAAAGAAAATAATAAATATGGAGGGGAGGGAGAATAGAGTAAACAGTGGATTTTCGAGATAAAAATAACATAAAAGAATAAATAGAAATAAATAAATAAATAAAATGTAAAGATTGAGGAGAGAAACAATATTTATTTTTTTGGAATTTTCGGCAGCATTTTCCCACCCCGCATAGGGTCAAAAATGTGCCAAGAGGAAGGAAAGTGCAAGAGGGACACACTAACTTTCAAAATGCCGCAAATTAAAATTTTCAAAAAAATAAATGAGTAAATAAAAAAAATAAAAAATAAAGAAGGAGGTGGAAGAGAGTGAAGAGAAGCTAAGTTTTGGAATTTTTCAAAAATTTTGACAGCATTTCGTTACCCCCATGGGGTCGAAGTGTGCCGTCAAGAAAAGACTAAGTAGAATGGAAAAATTTGGCCAGCGCTTCGCTACCCCTTAGGGGTCAAAATGTGCGCCGATAACAAAGAAAGATTGAGTCCTAGCAAGATATAGAGGTGCCGCAGAAAATTTCGAATTTTCAGAATAAATAAAATAAATAAATAAATAAATAAGAAAATAAGAAAAGAGGTAGGGAATAAGATGATTCAAATTTTTGGAGGAAAAGAGAAATTTTACATCAAGAGAAAGAGAAAATAAGAAAAGAAAATAAAAAACAGAAAAATTCGGAGTTGGGTGTGGGGGGGTGGAAAAGTGATGAAGAAAGAGAGAAAGAAGTGAGAAGAGAAAGAAAAAGGTAAGGTGGGGGAGATGATGGGGTTGTAGGTGGGGGAGGGAAGGAGGAGAAGAGGGTGGTGAAATGGGAGAGAATGGATATGAAAAAGGTGGAGAAGAGTAGATGAGATTAGTGAGAAATGGTGAGTGGGGAGGGGAGGAGAGAAAAAGGTTGCGGAAGATGGGTGGAGAGTGAGGTAGGAGTAGAGAGTAATGGTAGGAGGGAGAAAAAGTGATTAGATGATGGGGGGAAAAAGAGAAAAGAGGTTAGGGGAGAGTGGGTTAGTGGCAGGGTGGTGATACCAGGCTCTTGGGCGGCCAAGAGCAAAGTTCTACCAAGATCCACAGGAACTTGGCCTTCAAGATGCTGCTGGTGTGATGCCACAGCAGGAATGGTGATGATGGAGGGTTGGCTGAGATCTTGATCAGCCACCCTACTGCCACAGTCACACAGCCCCCTAGCCAGGGGGAAATCTTGAACTGTTG